TAAACCCTAAACCCTAAACCCTAGCCTGTGGTTTAAGCTGCGGTGTAATGTAATGTATGTACAGGGATATATAGGAGTGAATGATATGCATCTGTTGAGTTTAATTTTTTCTTGTTTCGCATGCATTGCTTAGGGTGTAGGGTTTAGGATTTAGGGTTGTGTGTGAGGGTTTAGTGTTTATTGTTTGTTGTTTTTATTTGTTTAAATGCGTTTATCTGCAGCTCGTTCAGAGGGTCTCAAACATAGCAGAAGACACCTGGGTGAAAGTGCGAGAAAACATCTGCCTTATAGAACGCCTGCTCAGCAGCTTTAGCTCAAAACCCTAAACCCTAAACCCTAAACCCTAAATGATTTAGGATGCACCCATCCAGCTGCATGCATGGACTTCTTCTTTTCTGTTTTTTTCTGCATGCATCTACGCTGGAGGCCTCAGCCCCAACAGAGGCGATGGGAGGTGCAGAGATAGACAAACAGATATTTCGAAGTTTGTTTTTTATTTAAGTTTGTTTGTTTGTTTGCAGTTCTTTGTTAATGAATGCCGATATAAATAAACTAAATAAACAAATAAATATATATGTATATATATGTATATGTATATAAATGTACATATATATACATATTTTCTTCTTATTCGCCAACAAAAAGAGCAGAGTTATATCTTTTTTCAACTATAGTTCATATAATTGCTTAGTAGAGATATATTTAAGGGGCCATCGAATTTAATTGTTTAGAAATAAACAAATAACGAACTTAAAAGGAGATTTTATCAATTAAATAAAATTAATATTATTAACAAAATAATATTTTTCAGCGAATAACGTAAAATAATGTTATTAATACATTATTATTAAAGAGGATCTAAGCAAATGCGGCAGTGTGTATAGGCTAGGAAACCCTTTTTTATTCTTATTTTGAATTTGCAATAAAATATTTTATTTATTTATTTAATTTAATTAATTTATTTATTTTGATTTATTATTTATTATTTATTTTTTGTTGTAAATAATGCAGAGATGCCGTTGACTATGGTGGCGATGGTGTGTCGTACCGGTCGATGCGGTTGATGGTTCGAGTATATTTTCTGAGCATTTGTCTACTGAATTTTGACGGAAAAAGGTTTAAAATGGATTAAATAAATTCATTTTATTAAAAAAATTAAAATTATTCAGAAAAAAAGAATCATTTTGCATATGAATAGCCTCAAATATTTTGTATCGCGTGTGGCGATAGACGGTCGATGGACACCGCTAGCTCGGCCCCACAGCATTTTTTTTTCTTTTTTTTGTATTTCTTTGCGACAGTTGAAGAATATAAATTATTTTAGTTTTTTCCCTTCATTAAAAACCGATTTCCTTCTCTAGTGAATCCCTAATTGTGCTGCTTTCGCTGCAGCATGACCGCTTGACCTGGCTGCTAGGGCCCTAGGATATAGAAAGGAAGAGCTGTTAATTGCTCTGATTTATTTAATTTCTTTGTTATTTCTTTATTTAAAATGTCGAAGGAAGGGTGTATAAAGGAAGAAAAACCGAAAGCTCCCACAGCCAGCACTCTATGGTGCTGCCCTTGCCTCGCTGATGCTTGCAGCTGCTGCAGCTGCTGCTATAACTGCTGCAGCAAGGGGGCCCCATGCCCTATTCTATATTTCTGTCTCCCTTGCTGCTGCTGCTGCTGCCGCCCGGCTGCTGCAGCTAAAGGAGTTGATGAAGAAGAGACAGTAGTTCCTCCACAGGAGAAACCCCTAGAGGCCCCGCCTGAAATAGTTGAAGGTGAAAAAGAAGAAGGAGAGGAGAAAGAAGAAGAAGAGAGGGAAGAAGGAGAGGCAGCAGAAGCAGAAGAAGGTGGTGCTGCAGCTGATGCAGCTGATACAGCAGCAGGAGAAGCACCATCAGCAGAAACAGCAGCAGCAGCAGCAGCACGGCCAGCATCAACTCTCAAACCTAAAGCTAAACCTAAACCAAGGAGAGCTGTCAGCCCAGCAGCAAAGAAAGCAGTTAAAAGCAGCCCTGCATTCTTTACAGGAAAGGCAGCAGGGCTTCCACCACCTCCTAAAGAGGCATGCATAGGGCCCCCGCCTGACGTACCTGAGCCGCAGACATCCCTTGGCTTAGGAGCCTATTTAATTTATTCACAAGAAGATCAAGGTAAGCTAAAAGCACAGTGGAGTAAAGCCCCTCTCTCTGGAGCCGGAGTCTTAGCTTATCTTAAACCTGAGAAAGAAGTTGCAGATTATAAATTCGAAAAAAAATCTGCAATTGAAGTCTATGCTACAAACTGCGAGGTGAACATACACCGCAATATAATACTATATAATATAAGAATATAATATAATGTTATATAATATAATATAATATAATATAATATAATATAATATAATATAATATAATATAATATAATATAATACAGTAATTATTAAGTTAACCCCTGAACCCCTGAATTTTTAAGCAGACATTTTAAAACTGAATCTCTCGGACCCTCTATTTTCTATGGATTATAGAATATGTATAAGTATATATATATATATATATATGTATACATGTATATATATGTATACATTTATATATATGTATATATATATATATATATATTTATGTATACATAAGTGAAGCCGGGCTTCTGAGGGGCCTCTGAGGGAATCTTTAAGGGCCCTCTACTGAGCGAGTAGAGGGTTATTGCTATTATTTTAGTTTGTTCTTCTATTTGAATGTTTCTCTGAAAATAATTAAAGATTTCTTTTATCTCGAAGCACTGTCTATATATATAATATATACATATAATGTATATATATATATATATATATTGGTAATATGATGTGGATTTGTGTTTGCTTGTATTTGGGTTTTCTTAGCTTTTTCTGATTTGTTGTTATAAAGAGTTTCTTTTCTGCGTTTGTCTGCATGCATACAGACCTGCATGCCCAGCGAATTCCCTGCAGATAGGGAGAAATTCTACAATGGCTGGGGATCTTTCTTTAAGCAGCTTTCTGCACACGGAGGCAGCATAGTGTTGCTACCAGCAGCTGCAGCTGAACCTCCTCCGAAGGTGAAAGTTGTGCTATTTAATAAGGGAAAGGTAAGAAAATAATTAATATTATAATAATATAAAATAATATCTATATTTTTAGCTGCATCTTTTGAGTATATATACACACTGTTCCGATTGCTTTCGCTTCTTTTCTTTGAATCTGCACGCACTCCATGCGGTGTACGTACACCTGAGAAAATAATATTTTGCAGTTTATATCGAATAATATTAGCGATAAAACGTCATTTTAGTTTAATAGAGATACACATGCATATTCATATATATATACATGCATACGTACATACATGCATGCATATATATATATATATATATATATATATATACTGCTGCTGCGGCATATTTCTTTCGTTTCTGAATTGCGTGAGGTGTATGTACAGCTGAGCATTGCGCAAGTTGGAGAAGAAATTTCAGCGGCTTCATTTGAAAGTCTGGCGATAGTTCCTTCGAACGCAACAAAGTTTGACGCTAAAGAAATGAGTCTCTCTGACTTCTCCACCCTTGCGCAGTCTCAAGGAGCTTATGTTAATATAAAGAAGTAGATTAAGAAGCATACAGAAAATATATTATATATACTTCATTATGCTTCATATACTAACTCTTCAAACAACAAACAACTACCTAATAACGCATATTCCGCAGTGGTCAGCTTTGTATATATTTGTATATAGATTTCTATATTTGAACACAAAATAAACATGAATACAAATATACCTATATAATGTATATATATATACATGATACATGGAAGTACAACTATATATATACATATATATATATATACATGTATATATATATATGTATATATATATATATACATGTATATATGTATATATATATATATATGTATATATATATTTATATATATATAGTTGTACTTGCGCTCGTTTTGTATTCAGCATTCCGCCACGTATGAAATTTAAAGACGCGTTTCTTTGGTTTATTTTTGCACTGTTGCATTTTGTGTTTATCATATATCGTTTCTTTTGTTTATTTTTCTAGTGCTGTCATTTGTGTTTATCATATTTTGTTTCTTTTTCTTCCGGAACAAAGTTAAACGCCCAAGAGAATTAATCTCTCCTTTCTTTTTCTTCTTGCTCGTTGTTTCAAACAAAGCATTAATAATATTAGGCATATAGATAGTAATTAATAAACAAGTAAATATACATATATATATATATATATATACGTAACAATAATATATATATATATATGTATATATATATATATGGACAAGATACTGCAGTTTAAAAGGCTCCCTCTTCTTTGAAAAGTACAAAGAAAAAATATAATAAATAAGCTGCTCGTTAAATATATGCATATAATATATATGTATATATATATTAGTATAGATATAAAACCATATATATATCTGTATTTTAATATATATATATATATATATATATATATATATAATGTATATATTAATACCTCGTTTGAGGTGCTCACCTCGGAAAGCCGCCAGCTGTAAGATTGCAATTAAAACGAAAAAGTTTATAAAGAGATGCCAAATAATAAAAGAAGATCGTCATCTTGAAAAGAATATTTTTTAATACTAGCAAAGACCTACACTCTTGTCTTCTTGCTTGTTTTGAGTATTTGCATCCGCATGCATGCATCTCCATCTCTTAAGCGCATCATTAATATGCATTCTCTGCTGCAGCTGCAGCTGCTGCTGCTGTTGCTGCTGCTGCAGCAGCTGCTGCGGCGCCCTGAGGCAAACGAAAGTTTAGTTCTGACAGGGCCCCTACTAGTCAAGAAAGGCGATTGTTCACGTGTTGTTAAACTTCGGGTGTACATACAGCTGCACAGACACCTGAGTGCAGAAGTTCGTTGCTGCCCTATGCCTTTTTCTTCTCTCTCTCTCTGCCTGTCTCTTGTCTTATCTTTTCTGCTGCAACACTCTGAACTCCAGTAAAAGCTGAATAGCACCGCTTTTGTTCGTTTCCGCTGCATGCAGACAGTGCATGCATGCATGCATGCATGCATTAAATATATGCATTGATGTATTTAGTATATTTAGAGTCGCTTGCTTGACTTAGCACAGCATGTATACGCCGCACAATATCTGCAGCAGCATGCCTGGCGTTCGCTCAACTCCGAAGAGCCGTAGCAGCAGCACAGAAACATCCAAGGCAGCAGCAGCAGCAGCAGCAGAGCAGGAAGCAGCAAGCAGACAGCAACGGGAGGAGCAGCAGAGGCGGCAGTCCCTCCCAGCAAAAAGCCAAGGTGTCTGCCACTTGCCTGCTGCTGCTGCTGCTGTTGCTGCTGTTGCTGCTATCGCTGCTATCGCTGCTGCTGCTGCTGCTGCACACTGCTGCTGCAGATGCGGGGTGGTTTGGTGTACGTACACCCCGCTGAGGGCAACGGAGCTGGCAGCAGCAGGGCTTGCTGCGAGTGCAGCAGCAGAGAATATCTCAGGCTTGCATGCATTCATGCGTCAGTGTGCATGCCGCATGCAGCCTTTGTTTATCTCCAACGCAGACAGAAAGCAGAAGCTGTGCATGCAATTTATATGGGGTGTACGTACACCTGGATGGAGCGGGTTTCTGCTACAGGTAGAAACAGATAGCTGCCAGTTAAGGTGTGTGTACACCTGCGCATGCAGAAGCAAATGAAAAGATATATCCACATGCTGAAGAAAAAAACATAGGGCCCCTCTCAGCAGCCCTTGCATCGCTTGGCTGTTGAGATATACTTGCTGCTGCTGTTGCTGCTGCACTTTTGCTGCTGCTTTGGCCCTACTACTGCTGATGCTACTGCTCTTCTGCTGCTGCTGCTCTTTTCAAGAGGAAGCCCGCTTCTTCGCCGCTTTACCGCCAGCAGCAGCAGCAGCACCACCACCACCACTACCAGCAGCAGCAGCAGCAGCAGCAGCAGCAGGAGTGAAGCAAAGGGAGACCGTCCATGCACGCACAGCGTTGTCTGCATTAGCGACGCCTCCTTCATTTATTACTTCTACTTCTTCCGGGCTGAGTGCCGGCCGCTGCAGAAAAGGCGGAAGCTCTTCAATTGAGGTGTACCTACACCCCCAAAACACACAAAAACCAAACCCTAAACCCTAAACCCTAAACCCTAAACCGGCGAAATAGAGTACCCTCAGGCGTTTTATTTTAAATAAAAACAGACATCTACAAACGTACAAACAAAAAACAGCAGCCAGACGCATGCATGCGTGTACAGCTCAAATAACACAATTAATATCCTACAACTGACACCCCAAACACAAAAATGCATGCATGCATGGATGCATGTGTGTATATATATTATATGTATGTTTAGCAGCAGCTGACCTAACGACTGTCACACGGGGCCCTCCTGCACTTGAAGGCGGTGAGGCTCCAGCAGCAGCACCTTGCTGCTGCTGCTGCCTCTGCTGGTGTTGCTGCTGCTGTTCGAGCGGGAGGTGATGCTCCCGCTGCGCTTGCTGCTGCTGCTGCTGATGCTGCACAAGGAGGCCCAGGCGCTCCAATTTGTTGCGGACAGTTCTGAAGAGAATTGAAGGGGTTCGTCGCCTGGGGTAGAGAGGGTCTGCAGCAAGAGCAGCTGGTGCACCTTCTGCTGCTGCTGCTGCTGCTGCTGCTTGAGGTGCAGCAGCAGGAGGAGCATCAGCAGCAGCAGCCGCAGCAGCACTAGCAGCAGGAGACGGAGCAAGGCGTTCAATAACAGCCAACTCACCCCCAACGCTGACGTTGCCGCCTACTGGTACTGCAATATGAATTAATCTTCCTGCTGCTTTTGCTGCTATCTCTACAGATACTTTATCTGTCTCTAACACACACAAAACTTGTTCTGCATGCACTGCCGAGCCCTCTGCTGCCAGCCACTTGGCTACTGTGCCTTCGGTTATCGAATCGCCTAAAGAAGGCACACGCACAACGTAAGTACCGTTGTTGTTGCTGCTGCTGCTGCTGCTGTCTTTGCTGCTGCTGCTGCTGCTGCTGCTGTGGCCGCGGATGCTTCCTTTCATGTTGCTGCTGCTGCTGCAGCTGGTTGTGCCAATCCTGCTGCTGCTGCTGGTGTAGCTGCTGTGGATGCGGATGCATCTGTTGATGCTGCTGCTGCTGCCTATCCTGCTGCTGCTGCTGCTAGCAGCAGCAGCAGCAGCATCATTGACTGCCGCTTTCAACTTCCGCCAGCAGTCTGTTCGCCCCTGGAGAGCCCCAAGGAGTTGGGGGTCTACGGGGCATTGGGGGGCCCCCAGGGGCCCCTGACTTCGCTGTGCATGCAGAGAGAAACGCAAATAGCTGCAATCCGCAAAGAAACCCCGGTTCGAAGAAGGCGTTTTGAAGCTGCTGCTGCTGCTGCTGCTGCTGCTGCTCCTGCTGCAGCTAAAGCTGCTGCTGCTGCGCCTACTCCGGCTGCAGCTATACGAGGGCTTATAAGGAGCAACTAAACCCCATGTGCGGTTACAGGGAAGATCTACGCGGCTGAAGCCGCGCCAGAGGATTGGCATAAGGGGTAAGCTGAGGCAGAACGAAGAGGAGTGATAGTGTTGGGGTTGAAGACAAGAAATAGAAGACTAACGCAAGCGTATGCATGCATGCATGCATGCATCTATGCATGCATGCATGCATCCATATGTCTTTCCGTTTGTTTGTGTGTTGGGTTGTAGCCTTAGCTACACACACAGCTGCTGAGGCGGTGCTGCCGTAGCTGCCGCAAAGAGAGGCAATTGCAATCCTAAAGAAAGGTTTAGAGACGATGTTTAACCCCCCAAATTCGGGGGTTAGGGTTTAGGGTTTAGGGTTTACGATTTAGGGTTTAGGCGGTACAGCAGGAGAGCACACTGCTTGTTGCTGTTGTTGGCTATCTTCTTAGGGCGCCCGATATATAAATATAAACATATATATATTCTTTTATTTTTATTGTTTTAATTATAAATAGGGAAGTTTTAATATCTACAGAATTTTTTTCTTGTTCTCTTTCTTCTCGTCTGACTTCCGCTGCCTCGTCAGCAGCCCCAGCAGCCTTCTTACATCAGCATCATTATAATTAAACATTTTCTTGCATTTATTGCCTGTTTAAGAGGATATTTTAAGAATAAACAAATATTAATTACTTATTTATATTTTAATTCATAATTTATTTTTTGTTTCGCTCGCCGCTTCGCCTGGATACCCGCACTAGCAACGACAGCCAATACAGCACCCTGCCATACATATACCAGCACATAGAAAGCTAAGTAGAAAATTATAAATATTATTATTATATTACTATTAACATTATTATTATTAATATTATTATACAATTATTAATGATTATTATTCCTAAACTAATTGCTGTTACTACTAATTACTACTACGAATAGTCAGACTCCGTCCGTACGAATTGTAATAGATCCAACAGATACATGAAAATATCTGATATTTAAATAATTCAAAAGAAAATTAATAATAATTATAATAATAATAATTTCCTGTAAAACCCACAGATGTTCTGGGAAGAGCATCTAAAGGCCCCATATTGCAGTCGTATGAGTTACTACTATCATTTTGTATTACTTTTTATTCTTATTACTACCATCACCATCATCATTTAGTATTATTACTACTATTAATTATTATTATTATTATTATTATTTATTACTAATACTACTTTCACTTAGTATTATTCTTAGTATTATTTATTACTATTATTATTAATTATTACTACAATTATACATTATTATTATTATTAACTATTATTTATTATTAATTATTATTGAAGGCTACTATTATCTTTCTTTCATCATTAACGCGTATTTGCATTCTTCTTAGACTTTACAAAACCCAACAAGTTAAATTGGCTGGGCTCCGAGCAAAGAGAGGGCAGCGGAAGAAGGAGGAAAAATAAAAAAAGAAGTGAAATAAATCTTAAAGACGCATCAAGACATAAAGAAGCAAATATAAACAACGACAAAACAACAAAACGAAGACAATAACACCCAGTAGCATTTGCATACTGGCTGTTAAAGAAGACATCGTTCATACACTTAAGTATAGATGCATCTATACATATATATACCTATATTTAAGTTTACGTACATTCAAATGTATATATATATATATATGTATATAAGTATGCATACATATAAATGCACATGCATGTAAATAAA